GAGGAGGAGGAGGAGGAGCAGTAGTAAATAGCAGCAGTAGTAGCAGTCAAGCACTCGTACTCGTACTTCGTACCAGTACTAGTACTAGTGCTAACACTAGTACGACTGGTCGTTGCGCCGCTGCTGGTGGTGCTGGCGGCGGTGGTGGCGGTGGTGGCGGTGGCGCCGCGGCCGTCGCAGTAGTTACAAGTATCGGGCGTCATCAAGAGCGGTAAGAGAGGTCGACCGTACAACTACTTCAGGGGCACGAGCCTGTGCTTGCCGACGCTATCCATGTCCAAGGTGCTTTGGAACACTTTTATTCGAGGTCAGCTTGCTCTAACAACTGCATCTGGCGACGCCTGGATCATTATCTGAGGAGCCGGTGCCTTCGCACGCTGGCTGCCGATGGCCTGCTGTCCGGCTCCTTGGGCAGTACAGAGATGTTCGGCCCACCAAGAAACTGCGTCGACTGATCGGGGAGGCTCTGCTTAGGTCGTACATGCACAGTTTAGCAGGACGATGCCTGTCTATTTGTTTGACTTCGGCAATGAGACCGGACGGAACGCTTGAAGCGGCAAGCTGAAGGAAGCTGGCTTTCTGAATCTTGCATCCTAGATTCTTTCTGGAGAAGACCGCCCAAAAGGTTGCAGAGTTCTTCATTGAGGAGTGCAGCACCAGGTGTTTCCGCTACCAAGGACCACAAGTCTATCGGTTCTGTAGATGCCAGCCATCCTCAGTTCATCACTGGTCTCCGCTATTGCTTGGGGACAGCGGTTGAAGTTCTCCCTGCCAGCGAGCTTGCATCAGCGACATAAGATGTGCCTACGAACAGGTTGCCAAGTCACGATACCAGCCTTCGAAGGGAGTGGCATCTGCGAACAGGTCCACAAGGTCCAAGGAGGCCTTCAAGGCCAATTCGTGGTTTGTGATGAGGCGACACTCAGGCACGCTGGCCTTTGTCTCTGCAAAGCAACAGCCCTGAACCAAAACGTCGAGGAGCACGACCTTAGGATCCGGACATGCTCAAGAACGATCCCGTAGGACTAAGACTACCAGAATTCTGAACAAACGTGCTTTGGCAAGACGCCCCAGCCGCCCAGAGGTCCATGGCCGGGCGAGCCCGGAGCGGCCAACGGAGAGGCGCGAGCCCGTCGGCTTCGGCCAAGGCGGCTTCAGCCAACTCTGGGCTGCAGTAGAGCGGCGTGAAGCCGAAGCTGTGCATTGGCACGACGTCGCCCACAGAAAGGCAACTTCCGAAGTCGATCAGCTTCCACAGCGACCCAAAGCGCATGATGTTGTCAGGCTTAACATCCAAGTGCACGAAACCAAGGCCATGCAGGAACTCCAAGGCTGCAAGAAGGGACCTGGCAACTTCGATGACGTTTGCCATCCGGATGAGGCCAGTCGTTCGCAACCACGTATCCAGACTTTCATGTCCGAGCTCCAGGACCATGTAGAACTTGCCATCCTTTTCCGGACCGGGGGTCCCAGTTTGATTTCTGGAATAGTCTAGGAGATTGACAAACAGCCGCCGCGGATTCTCGACTCCTGCTTCGTCGTGCTGGCCAGGCCCACCAGGCCCCACGCCCAACAATTTGAACATGGCCACTTCCTTCTGGTAGCGTTCTTGCAGTTCCTGGCTCGTTGCAGATTTGACCCGGAAGGCCTTTACAGCAACAGACGAGCCATCGCAGGCCAGCGCTTTGTAAACGACGCAAGAGCTCCCTTCACCGAGCAATCCATCGGCATTGCTGCCCCTTCCTTCGTCTCACTACTCTCACCGGAAGGAAACACAAAACGTTCTAACCCTCGGCCTTCCTGCACCGTGCTTTGCAAACTCATGTTGCGGCCATGTCACGATAGCGTTCCAGCAAGGGTGTAGAACTCGCAAGAGAGGGCTGCATAAGTAGCGCGAAAGGCGTTCACGGAGTGTGTAGGCATGGGACGGCAAGGGCAGGACATACTGTACTTCTTCGCAGGTTCAGAGTCTCGCTCTCTCGGACTTTCGATGCTGCATCCAATGCTATCCAATGCTGGCTGGCTGCTACACTTGCTGTAGCTGCGGCTGTTCCCTCTGTACACCTCCGTGTCTCGCTCTCGCTTGCTTGCTTGCTTGCTTACTTGCTTGCTTGAGATTTAAGGCGGAGGCTGGCTCTCTCTCTCTGTCTCTATCTCACGGACTCAGTCACATGCTGTGTGTGAAGGGTACAAAACATTCGATATTCATGCCGTTCCGCCTTCCTTGCAACTTGAACTGCACCGGCGAGAACGATGAACTGCTGTCAAGCAAGGCCATTGAAGCCGACACAGCGCCAGTGCAGCCACAAAGACAAGAGCTGGAGGAGGGGTGCGGGATGATGGCGCACCCAGGTGTTCTCGAAGTCTGACGGGCATAGAAGCGCTGCCACACGAAGCAAGAAGGATGCCTCAAAGTGATATATGGTGATCTTGGACTCAGCGGAATGCCTGCACAAGCTTAGGCCGGCACTATACGCAGCAGGCAGTATGAATCGGCTGCAGCGTAGACCACCTGGCTGTCCAGCACCAGCCGCTACGGCAGTTAAGATCATGCTCGGCAATGCAGTGCACGCCTGTACAGGCGCAAGCGGGCGCCGCCGCCAGTCAGAGCATTGCAGTCGCGACTTAAGATCCGCCGAAGCGTGCACGTTGCAAAATGCGGACCTGACGCCATTCCAGGGCACTCCCAGAGACATGCGCACGAATCCCTTCCAGCCGGCTTCCCAACACTTAGGTCTCTTGCCATTGATCCGTCAATTTTTGGATGGGACAGCCAAGAAAGTGGGCCAAAGCCTTCCACTGACAAAGGTAATCTACCCACTATAGAAGCACGGATGCGATTCGTCCCATGATGTCCCATGTCCTGCCTGAGTGTCGAGCGTGCACCTGAACAGCATTTGTGTTCTTTGCTGCTCCAGCACACTGCGAGACTCCAACCCTCGCGCACGACCCCCATCGGCCTGAGGCCAATCGAGAATTCCTTCGTGTCGCTCGGCGCATAGAAACAACAACGAGGAAGCAGCTCCCTCCGCCAGATTTAAACTTCTGCCACATCCGTCCTCGCGCAGCCACGAAATGTCGTTGGCTGCTGCGTGGAAGACCTACTGCCGCTGGAGCAAACGCAGTCTGCCGCAAGCTACAAGTCTTTCTGTCCCTTTCCCTCGTTGCCTTTAAGATGCTGGGGTTTTCCAAGACCTGCCAGGCTCTAGCGACGGCATCCGGTCATCAGCCCTTATCATCAACCCAAATCCAAGCCTCGCCGAGACAGCACTTCACCTGCCACGTCTCTCGCTACGAGCGCAGAAAATTTCCATGGCTAGGCCACGGCCTGAGTGGCTGGACACAGGTCCCAGATCCGAGAAGTCGTAATTTTGAAAATGTTTAGCGCAGTCCACTCGACCAGAAAACAGAAGTTGCGTCTTGCCAGGGCGCAGAATATCGGCCCAAGCGTGATTCTCACTCACACGAGGTCTCCAAACTGAGAAAGGACGGTTGCCACCAGTGCTAGTGTTGTCCCATGTTCCTACCCTTCTAGTTCAGTGGTGCCCACCTGCTCATGCGAGAAGCAGAGGCTGTCCACGAGGAAGGCCTTGCCACCGGCCTCCAAGCACGGGCTGCAGGATCAGCCGCACGCAGCACTTGCGCTCGCGACGCTATGTCCTGCTGATGCTGCACTCTCTCTTGAAATCGCTTCACATTGCTGAAGGCAGAGCTAGTGTGAGTAAGCATTGACTTGTTTGTCCAGAGCAACCGGGAACCAGTGCCGATCAGCAGGCCTTTGCGGTGGAGACTTGGATCAAACATACATAACCTGCAAGAGCAGGGTGCTGCCAACGTGCTGGCACTGGAACCTTCCCAAGGCAACATGCTCGGGAAGCACTGCCAGACTGCCTTTGTAGGATTGTAGCCAGTGTCGCTCAACCTTTCACTTAAAGCGTCATTTCGGAAATGGGCATAAGAACGAAAGGGTCTCAGAGGCCCTGTCATCCACACCAACGACGGAGCTTCTGGACAGGACATGGCTGCAGCGTTGAAGAGCATCCAACGTGTCGACCTGTGCACGTTAGCTACTCAAGCAAGCGCCGCATAAGCAAGCAGGAAGTTCAGAGCCACAACAAAGCTCCGCGCAAATTCGATGCAATTTTCTGCGCTTAACGGCCGACATGTCTCCAAGTCGGATGCCTTATACGAATCAACATGTGTTGAGATGTATGGCAAGGACACAGCGAAGCCGCCGATGCCTTCAGGTCCAGAACTTGCGTCTTTATTCCACAGCTTTTGGCCTCGCAATCGACTCCCGCGGGAGGGGGGGGGAGACCGGGTTATCCCAAGAAGTCCAACCATGCCTTGTATCCATCCAGGGCATGCCGCAGTTCATCGATCTGCATGCCGCATGCCAGATTATAACGTGCACGTCGAGTCTGAAACGGACGGCAGCTAGAAGTAGCATCTACAGCCTAACCTCCCTGCACGTGTACAGGCAATGCATAGCTTGAGCCAGAACACGCAGCACAGAGGCCTCCCCACTTCGCGAAAATGGGACCTCTCACTTCTCCACGTCTCTCACGCGCTTTGCTTTGCTTTGGGCATGGGGCGGGAGCAGTCCTCCCGTCCCGCGCGAGTGCGCTGCCCCATCCATTATTTTCAACGGATGGGCTCGGCTGTACTAGAGGAGTGTGCCCCTGTTGGGCTGGTGACCCTTGGGGGACAGCTGGCAGAAAAGGCAAACACCCTGAGGCCCGGGCCGCACGCATGCTGGAAACTAGCTGACAGTGGTTTCTGCTGGTCCCCCGAGGTTTGCTAGGTGCACTGCGGAGGTCCGACAAAGGCTATGCCCCGCATTGCCTCGCTCTAGGGTACCCCAGGAGCGGTTGGTCAGCTAGAACGACTGGTGTTCGGGGGCACCACCACAACCACAACAACCAGGGTACGCTGGCAAAGAAACTGCAAATACATGGGCCTACGTCACGGAGGGTGCTCCGAACCTTTAGTCGTCGGCTAACGCGCTCAGTAGTCTACGTCTACGGTGGCTTTGTTGACTTTCCTGGCTCACTGGGCTGGTGCCCCTTGCTCCTCTCAGTTGGTCTTCTGCAGGTTGTTGGTGACCGGCTTGTGGTGGTGCAGCGTGCCAAGGCACCGTGTCACTGTCGTCGTCCCAGGTAGCTTCTGGTTCCGTCGGCGTAGGTGCTGGTTCTCCTCGAAGGTGGTCGTCTCTAGCTTCGGCAGCTTGTTCAGGTAGAGCAGGCTGAGCTGCTAGCCCCTGCAGTCCTGGTACCCCTTGTAGTGTTGTGTTCGCAGTCCACGCGGGTCTCGCAGTGCCTGGTCGTGCAGGTTGCCGGTCCTGTAGCAGGTGTAGTAGGCTTTGCGAAGGCCTTTGCATGAGCTCGAGGGGCCACGGTAGTCCCCGCTGTGCAGGCAGGGCAGGCGGTGCGGGGAGTTGAGGTAGAGCGAGTTGCCCCCGTTGCTCTTGTAGTTGAAGCGGTACAGGTAGTCCAGCTGGTACAGGTAGTTCTGGGTGTCCCGGTGGTTCAGGTAGTCCAGGTAGCTCAGGTGGTTCTCGTCGCTCTGCTGCAAGCCCCGTCTGTGGCCCTTGCGCTGGTTCGGCTGGTCCAGGTAGTTGAGGAAGTTCAGGTGGTCCAGGTTGTCCCGGTGGTAGTTGTGGTTCCCGGGCTCGACGTCTTTGTGTGGTTCCCGAGCTGCTGGTTGCCTGTTCGCCTGGTAGGAGTCGCGGCTCAGCGGGTGGTAGTTGTCGGGGTTCGTGTCTTCGGCCGTGAGGTCCTTGAGGGTGTAGCGCTGGTGGTGCTTCTGGGTCGGCAGGTCTTGGTAGAGGTAGCTCAGGTGGTCCAGGTAGAGGTAGCTCAGGTGGTCTAGGTAGTCCCCGTGGTTCCTGTACTCGGTCGCGAGGTCCTTGAGGGTGTAGTCCTGGTGGTACCTCTGGTTCGGCAGGTACGGGTAGAGGAAGTTCAGGTGGTCCACGTAGTCCTGGTTGAGGTCCAGGTCCTCCGGTTCGCTGCCCTGGTAACAACTTCACACTGCTTGTGGTCTGTCTGTCTGGTAGTAGCCGCCCTTCAGCTGGTCCTGGTAGTTCGCGAGGTTCGTGTTCCCGGTCGTGTGGTCCTTGAGGAGGTAGTACAGGAGGAGCTTCCGCTGGTAGGGCGGGTTGTGCAGGTTGGGCCTGTGGCTCTGCGGCTGGTTGCCCTTCTCCTTCTTCTTGGTTGTGTGCCTCGGTGGGGTCCTCCTCGTCGGTTCCCTCGTCCACCAAGACGCGCCTCCTCTTTGTCTGTGGGGAGCAGTGCTCGGCCGCTCTTCTTAGGTTCTCCTCTTCTTCTCGGTGGGTGCCCCAAGCCTCCTCGTGTGCGTTTGAGGCGGCTTCGCAGAGAAGGGCAACACTGGCGAGGTTCTCCAGGAGGTTCTCCGGGATGTTGGGTAGGCCCTGGAGGTTCTGCAAGCACTCCTCCATGGCCGCTTCAGCTTGGTCCGCGAAGTCTTCTCCACGGTGTACCGCTCCCCAGTTGCGGGCTCTGGTGCGGCTGTGCATCTGCCGCGTGCCCTCCTTCAACAGTCTGGCGACTTCGTGGAGGTCCCCGCCGAGGTCCTCCACGCTGTTGTGTGCCCCGGTTGCTTCGACCGCTTTGGCCAGGTCCACGATCAGGTGCAGTAGGTGTGCCGCCGTGTTGTGTGCATTGGGCGGCGGCGGGTCTGCGCATCCGGTGTGGTGCAGGCTGCTGGAGCTTGCTGGTTGGGAGACTGTTTCTGGTTGGAGGGCGACCAGTGCCTGCTGTGCATGGGCCTGAGCTTCGCCTGGTGCCACGACTTCAAGCACTTTCAGGATGCATCGCCGTGCTTCCGCCATGGCTCGGCGGGCTTCTGCTGGGCTGTGTGCCCTGTAGCTCTGTGTGCTTCTTTGCATCAGCTCGACATGATCCGTGTGGCCGTCCCCAGTGCTAGGCCAAGACTTTTCGCTCTCCTCGTCCGGGTCTGCCTGTGCCCGCTGCTGTTGCTGCTGTGTGGCCGGTGGTGGTGTGTAAAGTGGTGGGGGCGCGCCTGCTGGTCTCTCACTCGCTCTCTCTCTCTCTCTCTCTCTCTTCTTCTGCACAGCCAAAGGAGAGCAAGGGCGCTCTCCTCGCGCGCGAACGCGCCCTGGTTGCTGTTCGTCCGTGTAAGACTTGACTACCCGATGAGGCCTTGCTTGTGACCCGTGGACCCCCCTACACCTATATGAACCCCCGGCCTCATCGCAGCCTGTTGCCAGCTCTGTACTCTCTCTCTCTCTCTCTCTCTTGCTTGCTTGCTTGCTGTGCGTCTAGGGCAGGGCGGACCTACCCTCGCGCATGAGCGCTACGCCTTCGTCTGGTTCGGTGTGAAACTCAACGCGGTCCCCTAGGAGCTCACCGAAGGTGTGACCCTTCCCTTCTACACAAACAAGTGCCCCCTGCTAGATCCAACACATTCCCAGCCTCAATGAGCTCCCCCGGAGTCTGTACTAGTGTCTGTGTTGACACCTGTGTCCCGAACGTTGTCGGGCATCGTCCTTGTCCCGGTGGCCCCTTCTGCTACAACAAGGCGGTAAAAGACCAAAGTACACAGCTAGTAACACCGAAGGACATGCGGAAAGCTACTTCACTGGGGGCCCCGGTTGCCATGGTACTTTACTGCTCTTCTGGTTTCTGTGGGAGTTGTGTGTTGACAGTGCGGGGCGCTGGGGTGAGGAAGCAGAAGGGGAAAGGGTTCACCTCTCTCTCTCTCTCTCTCTCTCTTTCAGTGCAAACGCTAGGACTTTTACGCCCCATTTTTCGCTCAACGAAGACCGGCAAGTTTATGTTCTGTCAGGCCGATCTCCCAGCCTTTCATACCTTATCCGTCTCACCTGGCCTTGCCGCTGGTGATGGACTTGACATAAGATGCCTCGGGCTCAAGAGATTCACGGCTGCACTTGTGTAAGAACTCCAGAGCCGCGAGTCTTAAACTGCTTGCCCACTGGTGGACTGGAAACGGCCTTTGCACTACTTCAGGAGGGCAGTGTTCCCTTTAGCGCTGTACCAGTGATGGGAGCACACCCTTTTTAGGGCTTGTTGCGAACGCGTTGACAGGTTTTAACAACTGCAAGCTGAGTGCTTCAGCAGCTATTTCTACCGCTCTCGGAAATTTGGAGGAAGTAGCGAAGGGTATCTTGCAGCAAGGCGCGCAGACTTTTGCCACATCCCACTTGTAGTCGGGGAGGACAGCTTGGAAGCGGTAGACGTAGTATAGCACCTGTTGTGCAAGCGGCCCACTGGCTAAAGTGCAAGAAGGCACGAAGCGTTGCAATGCATTGCAGAGGCCGGGCTTGGCACCCAGGAACAAGTCACCAGAATCAAGAGGAAGGACCTATGAACAGCTCACTCCGATCTCAGATCAGCTGCAAAAACAAGCGTTCAATGCCGGTCGCACTTCATGCCAGGCCACGACAGGAAGACGCGGTAGTTGGCAGGCTCTCTCCTAGAAGGCACGTATCCGTGGTGACGGCATCCCCAACAACCAACAAAGAAGCATTCTGCCAAGATTCTTTTGCCATGGCTGAATGAGGGTGTTCTGCGTGGCACGTTTGTTTCTATCCGGAACCACACCTGCGTACAGAGTGTCCTTCAGAAGAAGGATGAACTCAAGCGCTACCTCGCAGGATGTGTCAGCTCGCTGAGTTCTAGCACGTTCTAGCACTGCTGAAGCAGCAAACGTCTGGGCAGCTCTAAGGTAAGCCAAGGCGCAGCGTTGAGCAACAAGTCTCCGAAACTTGGCGTGGCCGCAAGCCAGCGGCACCCGAGCCACAACAGATAAACATTTATCAGGTAGCGCGGAACAATACAAGATGCCGTCAGCACGGCTTTGAGCGCCCCAGTCAAGCCAACGACCACTTCACATTCTCCCTCTCCTTCAACGACAGCATCACGCATTGATGAGATCCTGCTGGCCAGAGAGGTGATGATGCCAAGCTCTTTCTACTTAGGATTTAGGATTATTCCTTGTCACTTGCTGGTCACTTGTTCATTGTGCTACTGCACTACGGCGCTATAGCGGAAGGCTGCAGTAGGATTGAAATCCATTAATAATGCCCTTCAAGCTTCGTTGGGGTGGCCAAGATCAGACGAACAAACAGATCTCCACATCGCCGCAGGTCTGCCACGACTGTAAGCGTCCAGATGAACCTAGCAACTGAAAAACTGGTGAAACACACGGTGAGCAGCGCTTCAATTCTCAGCCGGGTGGCAGGATTGGCAGCAAAAGCTGTGGCTGCGAGAACCTGGTATGGCTGGCAGGAAGTCTAGACGTGTAGATGCAGAAAGTCTCAGGATTTCAATCCCAGGTACGGAATTCTGCACGCCGAAGCCTGCTCGCTCTCGGTTAGCCGGCCGAAGTTTGCAGCGTCAAAATATGCTGGATCCACTCCGCGCGGGAAGCCGTTTGCTGTTAGGTAGATATGAGACATCTCCGCGCCATACATGACAAACTCATATCGCCCATAGATCTGCCGGATTTCGGTAACTGCTCGGCTCGCCACCAGCTTCTGCATCTGCAGAATAATGAATATCTGCAGAAAAACCACGAAGAGCATTAGCAAAAAGGAGCTGGACAATCGCGAGATCCGAAGAAAGAGGCTTCCCTTTCCTTCTATCAAACTGTAGGAATCTCTCACTAAGGTCGCAACCCCTGCACCGTAGACATCTTCGTCCAAATTCTCGGGTTCTCGGTCCACAACTTCGAGGTCGTTTGAAGGATAACGCCTCTCGTAGTAGCGCAAAAGCACCACTGCCGCCAGGCCCATGATGAAGGACCCTGGAGCAATGACTCCCAAGACGTAGGCTTCTGGTCCAAAGGTTGGTTTTGCTGGCAGAGGAGGCTTGGATGATAGCTCGACTGCCAAGGCACGCGAATCCTCATTCCTTTTCAGAAACTCCGACCCTGTCTGAGCGAGCAGGGACAGAAACAGAACGAAGCCATGTGCAAACTTCATTGCCACTTCACTACTGGTATCTGATTCAAGACTTGAACCAGACTGCAACATGGTCAGCAATCAAGAACGAACCAAAGCATTGCAAACCCATCGCCAGTACCTGAAGCTGAACAGCCCTGAACCAGCCGCTGCGATCCAACCCTCGAGTCTTGGTCTTGGACGCCGTGTGGCCTCCCGGACTCCCTGCGGCTCTGCGATTTTGAAATGCTGGCGAATGCAGGAGACAGCAAAGCTCCGGGGCTGAGAGCCGGTGACGGTACCCGCTACAGCCACTTCCGGGACTGTGTTCCGGCATGCAATGGACAACATAAACTCCATCTATCTTCATCTCTGCAAATCCCTATCTATCTGTCTATCTAAAATCATTATTTTCTATTCGGGTACAAAAAACTTAGGTTTAGGCATGTATATTAACTTCGAACTGCTGCATGCCATGTCGTTGTAGCACTCGTCTTCATGCAGGCCGGAGCTTTCCTGGAAAGTCACATCAACACGTTACGTCAATACGCTAGCCGTGGTCGTTTTGTGTCCAAGCCACCTGCTTGGTCTCTCTCACGGCACTTCTTCGCAAACGCTATAACCAACGCGGAGTAGTCTGAATCCAGACGCTGGGGAGCAAAGTTCTCCAGAACTTCCTGCTGCACCCATGGTTGAGCAGACTTTAGAAAGTCGAAAGCCCGGTCGTCCATCGGGAATCTTTGTCTGAACATTCGGAGGGCACTGTCACCTCTGAACCGAGGTGGCGGAGGTGGCGGAGGTGGTTGGTGTGGCTGGTGCCAAGGTGGCTGCTGTCGAGGCGGTTGGTGTCCAGGTGCTGACAGACTTCGGGGCACCTGGAGGCCTCTGCCCAGTTGCGGCACTCGCTGATCCCGCATCTTCTTGCAAAAACTGATCAGCAACGCAGAATAGTCTGACTCGCCTTCCCGTGGAGGCTTAAAGCTCTGCAACACCTGCCTTCGCACTTCAGGGGGCGAGCTCTGCCTGAGCTTTGCAAGAACTGAGCAAGCAAGCGGTTTCATCTCTTCTGCAGGAGGAAAAGCTCATTGATGGTTCCGTGTTGGACCAAAAACCCAACCAAAGAAGCGAAATAGGGACAAAGCAGCAAGTAATTGTGTGTGTCCTCGTCGAAAGGGTACCGGTCACGAAATGCTTCGTACTCTCGTCCTGGCGGTGTCACAATGGCGGTTGAACCACTGATGGCTGATGGACAAACTGCGCAAAGCACGTCAGCTGCACCGCTTGGCCCACGGCTGGTCGACAGGTCCAACGAAGGAACGGCCTCATCATGCAATTACAGAAACGCGTGCTAGCGCATGGCTGTCTCAGGAAGCTGTCGTTCTTCATCGGCGCAAGATTCTTGGATCGAACTCGGCCGATCAAACAGAAAGCGTCAACACGTGCAACAGGCAAGAAGAACTCCGTTCCCAGTACCGAGCAAGCCCGGACCAACGGCGAACTGTGTCGCTCCCCATGGTTCTCCACTGTTGTTGGCTACATGAATGTCACCCACCCCGGTTATTCTGGCTACCTGAACCCCGTTCTTCGGGGTGCCCTGCAAGGTTAGGCGGTGAGGCACCCCCCCACCCCCCGCCCTGAGATGTAACCTGGGTATAGACCCTCGCGAAGCGTACAGGTCTACAGGCAAAGCAGGAGTCTCTTTTCAGCAGGAGTCTCTTTTCATCACGGGGCTGTCAGTATGATCTCTGCTAGAACCTTGAGCAGCAACCATAGATACATGCAAGTGGTACGTGAAACAGACATGCACCTGGATGTGTAACATCAGTGTTTCAACCCCGCCCTCCACCCCTCCCCCCCTTCCCTCCCCCTCCGCTCCGCGAATGACGCCTTATTCGTCGCCTTTGTTTGCGGACGGGCCGAGGCGGACGACGCGAAGCGTTTGCAGTCATTTCCGACATGCTTTGCCCCTGACGTTGCGGCACCTCTTCGCGAAGCTAATGACCAAGGCAGAGTAGTCCTGAGAGTATCTGATTAGTGCTGCACTTGTGCCTGCCGCTGCCATTATTCATGCGGTGGAGTAGCAGTCCTCTTCGCCCTCCCTCGGAGGCTTGAATGTGCGAAGTATCTCTCTTTGGACATGAGGCGGTGACGAGACAATGTACCTGTGGGCGTCCTCGAAACAGGGCGGCTACCGTCCGTGCTAGAGCGCTCGGTGTGCATCGCAAGAGTCTCCTACGCTCTCTGTCGCTTCCTTCCCTAAACGAGTCCGGGCAGGTCGGAAGCCGCACCCGGCCCCCCCCCCCCCCGAAGAAGGCATTGGGGAACCAAGGCCCGTTCGTGAGCTGGCCGTGTTCACGCAGGACGAGACCGGAACGGTGAGGGTGGAAAGAAAGAAGCAGAAAAGCAAAACAAGACAAGCAGAGAGCAACAAGCAAACAAAAGAGGAAGGCAGAACGGGAAAGCAAAATCAAAGCGCAGAAACCCCAAAAAATAAAATAATGTAAAACACACACACACACACACAAACACACATCTCCGTCGTGGACCCCCTTCAACATCCCTCAACCCCGAACGTTAACACGCATCTTGGCCTCATGCCCGCTCCTTCTGCGGCTCAGTCCTTGGCCCCTGCGACAGCCCCTCCCCTGTCAACGTGCTCCGAAAGTATGCGGCTGTTGCCCCTCTCTCTTTTTCTCTCTCCCTCTGCCACTGAATCCGACAGTTCACCTACTCAAGCGCGCTCGCAGCTGGCGCCGACAGCCGGGGCTTCTGCTATGGCTGCTATGGGCACAGGCATGCTCGAAAGACGGTGCCACAAGCATCGGCTCTGTTGCCAAGCAGTTCAGCGAAACTACCGCGACCCATCCTCTCCCCGGCACCATGTTGCGAGTGGCAAAGCTACCCCACTACTCTCTCGATTCCGACGTGCTATCCTTGCACAGAAGAAATGCTCGTGCTCTCTTGCTGGCTGTATGGCTGCACGGTGTGTAGGATTCAGGATTCGTTGCCAAAGCTAGAACGTTGCCGAATGTGCGCAAGCCTCTTCAAAGATGTTGTCAAAGTTATACTTTCACCGGAGGCGTAGTCAAGACAGAGGGGCGTAGGCGAAGTAAACGGATCCTACCGGCAAGCTCGCCCCGACACAAACAGCATGTCAATGCCATCATGCTTCTGCATAAACCCCGCCTGCATCCGCAAACTTACACTTTTCATAGAGTACCGATGTAGATAGCATAGATGCCCCACATCCTGTCAGAACAGTGTTTAAGTTGAATACACAACATTAGCCCGTGCTTCATTCAAGGCTTCCGAGCAAAGATGAGCACAAAACTTTCCAAAGCCACCAAAGCCTCTCTTCGCTTCCCACCTTCCCACGCCCATCCTGCCCCCGCAGCTGCCCTCTTGCCACTTCGCCTGTGAACCAAACTTGGGGGCGAGCAATACGAAACAATTCCCAACAATTGGAAAATGCAGATACGATTAGCTCACTCTGCTGTGAGGAGGGTCACAAAGAACCATAGCTTCTGCAGGATGCGCTGCGCTCTTGCGACAAAGCAAAAACTGTTCAGATGAAGACGATGCAGCCCCCGAAACCCAGCATCATCAGCATCTTTGGCTCCTCGCTTCTCCCTTCAATCTTTAAAATCCTCTTGTTTGCATTCAATGGAACACTGGGGCATTGCACCGCGCAAACATGCCTCCCAACAACAAGCATCGAAATCACACAAGTCACACCCTCCAGATGCTTGCTGAAGCAGTCAGGCACTGTGTCCTCATCAAACGGATATCTGTCCCTGAAGGCCTGCGGGCAGTGACAGTCAAATGCACTAAACGAAAACGAGACAGGCTGGCTTCTTCGGCTTCCTGCATTGCGTGAAGGTCACCCGAAAACACCAAGGGGTGACAAGACGACATGGCTTTTGGGGGGATGGCCGGCGCCTGCAGCTCCGGTTGAGTCAGAGACACATCTTGTTCGAACGACGGCTCATAGAAGTGGGGCGCCTGAGCCAAGCGCTGATAAAATCCGAAGACGAGGCCGAGAAAAGGACAGGGAAAGGCCGCGTGCCCCTTCAAAGCTGTGCAGCTGTCGCTCTTTCACAGACCTTGGCGTGGCTGACATCAGCCCTTCTGCTCATCTCTACCCACTGACCACAGCAGCCAAATTTCTGCCGCCGCTTCTTGGTAAATCCCATGATCAGCGCGGAGTAGTCCTGCAACAGCTCCCAAATTGTTGCCATTCCAGCAACTAGCAGACATTGATGTTTTTGCCGACCGTCCTCCTCCCCCTCCTGACGGGGCTTGAAGTCACGCAAGACTTCATGCTGAACCTTGCTGGCAAGAACATACCCACGAAATGTTCGAAGAATCGTGTCTGCATCTCACATGTCCGCCCCACAGCTCTGACGCTTTGAAGTGTTTGATTTTTCAGGTGCTTCTCAGGACAACTTCCACAACCGGTCGAAGTTGAACAGATCTAAGCGGGCTAGCGAAATTGAGGGACCATGATCGGGGATTACTCCACACGGATATCCCTAGGATTGCTTCAGAATTTCTTCCTGGTGACAACGCTTCCGAAAGCAAGAGTTCAGGCTGAGTTTCAAGTCTAGTGCTTGACAGACCCGCCCAGGCAGCGAGAACAACAGCTGGACTCGCTGACCATGTGCGACCGGCCTCAATGCTGGAATTCACGATGTAGTTGTATGCCTTTGCAGGTAGTTTCTTCAGCCTTGATGGTTCTAGGCGCAGACGCCAAGCACATCTCATGCGTCCATGCCGAGCAACATCGTCGTCGAAAGGGTATCTCGATCGGAAGTGGTACAGATCAGATGCTAGGTCCTCATCCATGCCACCTGCAATCAGCGTTTGTGTTCGGAATGGCGATGAGCAGCACCAGACCGGCCCCCGGCGTTCGGGCAGTCACGGATGCCAAGCCATACCTTAGCCCTTTCATTCTCAACGACTCTCCCGCTGCACGTTTGAGCAATGCAGCCACAGATGTGCGCAGCGGGCGAATTCTGATCCTGGCGTGCTGAACACACACGTTTAAAGCTTGGTCGTGCCAGGTCCTCTACATCGCTATGTCTTGTGGAATGGCGTCGGCAACCAGGCATCGCTTCTTGCATAGATGGTACATGATGGCACTGAACACAAACACAGAGTACGCGGGACGCTATCCTGCTGCTGCCTCTTTCCTGTGCTCCTGTCTTTCGACTGTTCAAGCCTCTGTCTAAATGGCATGATGCTGCTTACAGCCCTTTGCTGATGAAGCTCAGCTCGTCGAAGCAGCAGGATGCGACCGACCGCTTCCAAACCTCGTGATCTTTTGGATCTCCTTGAGGAACTTGAGTAAGACGGGCTTCGATATCAGCTACAAGCATCTCATCGCCATTCGGCTCATCGTAGATGCCTTCCAGGAGGCGAGTCAAGGCCATCGGATAACCGAACGGTCCCCCATCTCGTGCTTCCTTTGCAGCTTTCTCCCAAAGCATAGCTAGTCCTAGTTTCACTTCTTCCCAGTCAGTGCTGCCGTCCCTCAACCCCTGCATCCACTCCTCTCGCGCAGTCTCGGTATCCAGTCTCCCTGAGAGCGCGGTGGCCTCTTCCAGCTTTTCGCCTCCTCCCCATTGCCGCCATCCATTTCGACAAGTCAAGCCATGACGCCCAGTGTTTGGGGCGTGACGAAAGCGATAATCGCCTTTGGAGAGATAAGCTGCGAAGCAGAGCGATGAGCTTGCTACAGCAAGCACGAAGATTGAAAGCTTTGACTTCTTTTGAGCCATGCAGGTAGCGCGTGGATGTAGTCGGACTACACCTTTTTTCGCGCTTGAGCCATGCCGCGGCAAACTTCCAGCATCCGTAGAAACAAACCCCGTTGCAACCCAAGCTACGTCTAGAAGGCAGATGCAAGCAAGAACTTATCAATGCAGCACATCCATAGAAATTCGGCAAGGTATTGTAGAATTCTTTTTGCGAAACCCACTGCTGCCTGCACAGATAACACGACCACGACAGATTGACGACCTGGCTTTCCGATCAGATGATGTCGGCTTCTGCTTTACTGAGCTTCCCAGTGAAGTTGTCCAAGAGAGTGCGAAATGAGAGTCAGGGACCTCGGGCAAAACTTCAGAGGGTGGCAGTTGGAGCAACAGACTTGGGTGCCATGTTGTAAAGCCAAGAACATACCTCATCGTTTTGCCATCATTCCATACTTCGTGGTCGTAGGCATCGTCAAAGACCAACATCTGGCCAGCATGCGTGTAGTTGATCGTTTGGTTGGCCACTCGAATGCGTGATTGGTTGCCGGGCGGGACGTGCAGTGCCAGATGAATGGTGAGCCGTCCATCATTTCCGAGGTGCGGCAGAATATGCGACCCAGGAGTCAGCGCATAGAAGTTCACGTACATTGGAGGCGAGCTCTCTGGCGTGATGCCCGCTCTGTGGCTAAGCTTTGGCCACAGGCTATGGTTCAGCTCCTTGCGCCACCGCAACATGTCACAGGTTTGCTTTGCGCAAGCTTGCTCCCCACACCATCGCTCGTTCCAGCCACCCCTGGCCGAGTGCATCAGATTAAGCCCTGTCCATTTGAAGCGAGAGCCAACGAAAAACCAATCATTCGCAGAGTCGTCAAATGCACTCGGCGTGCGTTCCAGGCACTTCTGTAGATCAGTACGAATGATGTGCACGGCATGTCGGGAACGCATTCCGCGTAGCCATTTGGGCAGTCTGAGGTCTTTGAGGTTCCACCACGGCATGGTCTGAAGCCTCGGATGTTGCAGATGCAAGTGAGTAATCGACAGCCCACAATCTTTTGCATACCTCTCTCCTTCCACCCATTGCCCCAGCTGCTTGTATAGTAGAACCACTTTGGCGTTACACATCTGCCCAGAAAGCTCCTCGGCTTGGAGGAAGAGAGCAAGTGATCTCTGAGCTGATCGGAGCATGGGGCGACAGAGGTCGAAAAGAGCGTCGGCCAGGCGAAGTACCATCACGGCCCGCCAGGGGGCCGGACCAGGTGCCAAGCCCAGAGCCCCGTGGCGCACAGTCAGCAATGCCCGTAGGATGCTCTCATCTCCGGACTGCTTGTAAACCGCTTGCAAGACTCGGCCGTACTCCGACAAGGCTTCGGCATGTCTCAGCGCTTCCACATCGACCAGCTCCCGGGATTCTCGTGAAAGCAGCATCAAAGCCTGCCGAGCAGGAGCCAGGATTTCCAAGGGAGTTTGCTGCAAAATCCTCTCGAAATGGCTGCGCTCGCCGGGCGCACTCAGCTCAAAGGGCTCGCAGTGAAGAGCCGCTGCTCTGGGCAAAACAAGAAGGAAAGCGGCACCAAACGCACTGAGACCTTTCCAGGATCGAAATATACTGTAGCACATCCAGCAGCAATCATGCGCTTCTGGTTCAGAGCCCCTGACCTTGCTGCTTCGATCGTCTTGCGTGCCAGTTCATGGAAGCCGTGACTTCGACGCGTCCAAGCTTCATTGGCTTGCACTCCGGTTTCCAGCTCCAAGCATGTCGGGCAGCTTGAGCCAAGAATCCTCGCCCGACACGGTCAGGACCGGACGTTCACCACAGGATGTTCCAGCTGCAACTACATGGAGCGCTAGGTTCTCGGATCCACGTTCCATCGAAATGCCGATCTCAACCGCTGCCTACGAGAATCAAGAATGCAAGAAGCTCCTTATCCGCCGACCCCTGCGGGGGCGG